TCAGCCCACCTCCGTGCTGGCGAGTAGTCTTGTGAGTCAGCCCACCTCCGTGCTGACGAGTAGTCCTGTGAGTCAGCCCACCTCCGTGCTGGCGAGTAGTCTTGTGAGTCAGCCCACCTCCGTGCTGACGAGTAGTCCTGTGAGTCAGCCCACCTCCGTGCTGGCGAGTAGTCTTGTGAGTCAGCCCACCTCCGTGCTGACGAGTAGTCCTGTGAGTCAGCCCACCTCCGTGCTGACGAGTATTCCTGTGAGTCAGCGCACTTCCTTGCTGACGAGTAGTCTTGTGAGTCAGCCCACCTCCGTGCTGACGAGTAGTCCTGTGAGTCAGCCCACCTCCGTGCTGACGAGTAGTCTTGTGAGTCAGCCCACCTCCGTGCTGACGAGTAGTCCTGTGAGTCAGCGCACCTCCGTGCTGACGAGTAGTCTTGTGAGTCAGCCCACCTCCGTGCTGACGAGTAGTTCTGTGAGTCAGCCCACCTCCGTGCTGACGAGTAGTCCTGTGAGTCAGCCCACATCCGTGCTGGCGAGTAGTCCTGTGAGTCAGCGCACCTCCGTACTGACGAGTAGTCCTGTGAGTCAGCCCACATCCGTGCTGGCGAGTAGTCCTGTGAGTCAGCGCACCTCCGTACTGACGAGTAGTCCTGTGAGTCAGCCCACCTCCGTGCTGACGAGTAGTCCTGTGAGTCAGCGCACCTCCGTGCTGACGAGTAGTCCTGTGAGTCAGCGCACCTCCGTGCTGACGATTAGTCCTGTGAGTCAGCCCACCTCCGTGCTGACGAGTAGTCCTGTGAGTCAGCGCACCTCCGTGCTGACGAGTAGTCCTGTGAGTCAGCCCACCTCCGTGCTGACGAGTAGTCCTGTGAGTCAGCGCACCTCCGTGCTGACGAGTAGTCCTGTGAGTCAGCCACCTCCGTGCTGACGAGTAGTCCTGTGAGTCAGCCCACCTCCGTGCTGACGAGTAGTCCTGTGAGTCAGCCCACCTCCGTGCTGACGAGTAGTCCTGTGAGTCAGCCCACCTCCGTGCTGACGAGTAGTCCTGTGAGTCAGCCCACCTCCGTGCTGACGAGTAGTCCTGTGAGTCAGCCCACCTCAGTGCTGACGAGTAGTCCTGTGAGTCAGCCCACCTCAGTGCTGACGAGTAGTCCTGTGAGTCAGCCCACCTCCGTGCTGACGAGTAGTCCTGTGAGTCAGCCCACCTCCGTGCTGACGAGTAGTCCTGTGAGTCCGCCCACCTCAGTGCTGACGAGTAGTCCTGTGAGTCAGCCCACCTCCGTGCTGACGAGTAGTCCTGTGAGTCAGCCCACCTCCGTGCTGACGAGTAGTCCTGTGAGTCAGCCCACCTCCGTGCTGACGAGTAGTCCTGTGAGTCAGCCCACCTCCGTGCTGACGAGTAGTTCCTGTGAGTCAGCCCACCTCCGTGCTGAAGAGGAGTCCTGTGAGTCAGCCCACCTCCGTGCTGACGAGTAGTCCTGTGAGTCCGCCCACCTCAGTGCTGACGAGTAGTCCTGTGAGTCAGCCCACCTCCGTGCTGACGAGTAGTCCTGTGAGTCAGCCCACCTCCGTGCTGGCGAGTAGTCTTGTGAGTCAGCCACCTCCGTGCTGACGAGTAGTCCTGTGAGTCAGCCCACCTCCGTGCTGGCGAGTAGTCTTGTGAGTCAGCCCACCTCCGTGCTGACGAGTAGTCCTGTGAGTCAGCCCACCTCCGTGCTGACGAGTATTTCCTGTGAGTCAGCGCACTTCCTTGCTGACGAGTAGTCTTGTGAGTCAGCCCACCTCCGTGCTGACGAGTAGTCCTGTGAGTCAGCCCACCTCCGTGCTGACGAGTAGTCTTGTGAGTCAGCCCACCTCCGTGCTGACGAGTAGTCCTGTGAGTCAGCGCACCTCCGTGCTGACGAGTAGTCCTGTGAGTCAGCGCACTTCCGTGCTGACGAGTAGTCCTGTGAGTCAGCGCACCTCCGTGCTGACGAGTAGTCTTGTGAGTCAGCCCACCTCCGTGCTGACGAGTAGTCCTGTGAGTCAGCCCACCTCCGTGCTGACGAGTAGTCCTGTGAGTCAGCCCACATCCGTGCTGGCGAGTAGTCCTGTGAGTCAGCCCACCTCCGTACTGACGAGTAGTCCTGTGAGTCAGCCCACCTCCGTGCTGACGAGTAGTCCTGTGAGTCAGCGCACCTCCGTGCTGACGAGTAGTCCTGTGAGTCAGCGCACCTCCGTGCTGACGAGTAGTCCTGTGAGTCAGCCCACCTCCGTGCTGACGAGTAGTCCTGTGAGTCAGCGCACCTCCGTGCTGACGAGTAGTCCTGTGAGTCAGCCCACCTCCGTGCTGACGAGTAGTCCTGTGAGTCAGCCCACCTCCGTGCTGACGAGTAGTCCTGTGAGTCAGCCCACCTCCGTGCTGACGAGTAGTCCTGTGAGTCAGCCCACCTCCGTGCTGACGAGTAGTCCTGTGAGTCAGCCCACCTCCGTGCTGACGAGTAGTCCTGTGAGTCAGCCCACCTCCGTGCTGACGAGTAGTCCTGTGAGTCAGCCCACCTCCGTGCTGACGAGTAGTCCTGTGAGTCAGCCCACCTCCGTGCTGACGAGTAGTCCTGTGAGTCAGCCCACCTCCGTGCTGACGAGTAGTCCTGTGAGTCAGCCCACCTCCGTGCTGACGAGTAGTCCTGTGAGTCAGCCCACCTCCGTGCTGACGAGTAGTCCTGTGAGTCCGCCCACCTCCGTGCTGACGAGTAGTCCTGTGAGTCAGCCCAATTCCGTGCTGACGAGTAGTCCTGTGAGTCAGCCCACCTCCGTGCTGGCGAGTAGTCTTGTGAGTCAGCCCACCTCCGTGCTGACGAGTAGTCCTGTGAGTCAGCCCACCTCCGTGCTGGCGAGTAGTCTTGTGAGTCAGCCCACCTCCGTGCTGACGAGTAGTCCTGTGAGTCAGCCCACCTCCGTGCTGACGAGTAGTCCTGTGAGTCAGCCCACCTCCGTGCTGACGAGTAGTCTTGTGAGTCAGCCCACCTCCGTGCTGACGAGTAGTCCTGTGAGTCAGCCCACCTCCGTGCTGACGAGTAGTCTTGTGAGTCAGCCCACCTCCGTGCTGACGAGTAGTCCTGTGAGTCAGCCCACCTCCGTGCTGACGAGTAGTCCTTTGAGTCAGCGCACCTCCGTGCTGACGAGTAGTCCTGTGAGTCAGCAGCCCACCTCCGTGCTGACGAGTAGTCCTGTGAGTCAGCCCACCTCCGTGCTGACGAGTAGTCCTGTGAGTCAGCCCACCTCCGTGCTGACGAGTAGTCCTGTGAGTCAGCCCACCTCCGTGCTGACGAGTAGTCCTGTGAGTCAGCGCACCTCCGTACTGACGAGTAGTCCTGTGAGTCAGCCCACCTCCGTGCTGACGAGTAGTCCTGTGAGTCAGCGCACCTCCGTGCTGACGAGTAGTCCTGTGAGTCAGCGCACCTCCGTGCTGACGAGTAGTCCTGTGAGTCAGCCCACCTCCGTGCTGACGAGTAGTCCTGTGAGTCAGCGCACCTCCGTGCTGACGAGTAGTCCTGTGAGTCAGCCCACCTCCGTGCTGACGAGTAGTCCTGTGAGTCAGCGCACCTCCGTGCTGACGAGTAGTCCTGTGAGTCAGCCCACCTCCGTGCTGACGAGTAGTCCTGTGAGTCAGCCCACCTCCGTGCTGACGAGTAGTCCTGTGAGTCAGCCCACCTCCGTGCTGACGAGTAGTCCTGTGAGTCAGCCCACCTCCGTGCTGACGAGTAGTCCTGTGAGTCAGCCCACCTCCGTGCTGACGAGTAGTCCTGTGAGTCAGCCCACCTCCGTGCTGACGAGTAGTCCTGTGAGTCAGCCCACCTCCGTGCTGACGAGTAGTCCTGTGAGTCAGCCCACCTCCGTGCTGACGAGTAGTCCTGTGAGTCAGCCCACCTCCGTGCTGACGAGTAGTCCTGTGAGTCAGCCCACCTCCGTGCTGACGAGTAGTCCTGTGAGTCAGCCCACCTCCGTGCTGACGAGTAGTCCTGTGAGTCAGCCCACCTCCGTGCTGACGAGTAGTCCTGTGAGTCAGCCCACCTCCGTGCTGACGAGTAGTCCTGTGAGTCAGCCCACCTCCGTGCTGACGAGTAGTCCTGTGAGTCAGCCCACCTCCGTGCTGACGAGTAGTCCTGTGAGTCAGCCCACCTCCGTGCTGACGAGTAGTCCTGTGAGTCAGCCCACCTCCGTGCTGACGAGTAGTTCCTGTGAGTCAGCCCACCTCCGTGCTGACGAGTAGTCCTGTGAGTCAGCCCACCTCCGTGCTGACGAGTAGTCCTGTGAGTCAGCCCACCTCCGTGCTGACGAGTAGTCCTGTGAGTCAGCCCACCTCCGTGCTGACGAGTAGTCCTGTGAGTCAGCGCACCTCCGTGCTGACGAGTAGTCCTGTGAGTCAGCCCACCTCCGTGCTGACGAGTAGTCCTGTGAGTCAGCCCACCTCCGTGCTGACGAGTAGTTCTGTGAGTCAGCCCACCTCCGTGCTGACGAGTAGTCCTGTGATTCAGCCCACCTCCGTGCTGACGAGTAGTCCTGTGAGTCAGCCCACCTCTGTGCTGACGAGTAGTCCTGTGAGTCAGCCCACCTCCGTGCTGACGAGTAGTCCTGTGAGTCAGCCCACCTCCGTGCTGACGAGTAGTCCTGTGAGTCAGCCCACCTCCGTGCTGACGAGTAGTCCTGTGAGTCAGCCCACCTCCGTGCTGACGAGTAGTCCTGTGAGTCAGCCCACCTCCGTGCTGACGAGTAGTCCTGTGAGTCAGCCCACCTCCGTGCTGACGAGTAGTCCTGTGAGTCAGCCCACCTCCGTGCTGACGAGTAGTCCTGTGAGTCAGCCCACCTCCGTGCTGTGGCGTAGTCAGTTCAACCTCAAATTTGCATGAGGAAGATTTTTCCAGTCGTGCCGCAAATGGATTCAAGATGCTCACTTTCTTGCCATGATGCGCTCTGCGACGCTAGCTGCTTTAAGCTCTGCGACGCTAGCTGCTCTAAGCTCTGCGACGCTAGCTGCTCTGCGACGCTAGCTGCTCTGCGCTCTGCGACGCTAGCTGCTCTGCGCTCTGCGACGCTAGCTGCTCTGCGCTCTGCGACGCTAGCTGCTCTGCGCTCTGCGACGCTAGCTGCTCTGCGCTCTGCGACGCTAGCTGCTCTGCGCTCTGCGACGCTAGCTGCTCTGCGCTCTGCGACGCTAGCTGCTCTGCGCTCTGCGACGCTAGCTGCTCTGCGTTGTGCAACGCTAGCTGCTCTGCGCTCTGCGACGCTAGCTGCTCTAAGCTCTGCGACGCTAGCTGCTCTAAGCTCTGCGACGCTAGCTGCTCTGCGCTCTGCGACGCTAGCTGCTCTAAGCTCTGCGACGCTAGCTGCTCTGCGCTCTGCGACGCTAGCTGCTCTAAGCTCTGCGACGCTAGCTGCTCTAAGCTCTGCGACGCTAGCTGCTCTAAGCTCTGCGACGCTAGCTGCTCTGCGCTCTGCGACGCTAGCTGCTCTAAGCTCTGCGACGCTAGCTGCTCTGCGCTCTGCGACGCTAGCTGCTCTAAGCTCTGCGACGCTAGCTGCTCTGCGACGCTAGCTGCTCTAAGCTCTGCGACGCTGCCTGCTCTGCGCTCTGCGACGCTAGCTGCTCTGCGCTCTGCGACGCTAGCTGCTCTGCGCTCTGCGACGCTAGCTGCTCTGCGCTCTGCGACGCTAGCTGCTCTGCGCTCTGCGACGCTAGCTGCTCTAAGCTCTGCGACGCTAGCTGCTCTGCGCTCTGCGACGCTAGCTGCTCTAAGCTCTGCGACGCTAGCTGCTCTGCGCTCTGCGACGCTAGCTGCTCTAAGCTCTGCGACGCTAGCTGCTCTAAGCTCTGCGACGCTAGCTGCTCTAAGCTCTGCGACGCTAGCTGCTCTAAGCTCTGCGACGCTAGCTGCTCTAAGCTCTGCGACGCTAGCTGCTCTAAGCTCTGCGACGCTAGCTGCTCTAAGCTCTGCGACGCTAGCTGCTCTGCGCTCTGCGATGCTAGCTGCTCTACGTTCTGCGATGTTAGCTGCTCTGCGATGCTAGCTGCTCTGCGCTCTGCGACGTTAGCTGCTCTACGCTTTGCGACGCTAGATGCTCTGCGCTCTGCGACGCTAGATGCTCTGCGCTCTCCTCGAGACCACTGCAGCCGGTAACAGCAAGCTGTTCATCCGGACAATTAATCCATCTGTCTACAGACGAGTCCCTTGGGTGTTTGGTGAAATTGTGTCGAGCGCGCACCCTTGGTGTGGTGTGGACCCCTGAGTGACCTACAAGGTGTGGTGTGGACCCCTGAGTGACGTACAAGGTGTGGTGCGGGCCCCTGAGTGACGTACAAGGTGTGGTGCGGGCCCCTGAGTGACGTACAAGGTGTGGTGCGGGCCCCTGAGTGACGTACAAGGTGTGGTGCGGGCCCCTGAGTGACCTACAAGGTGTGGTGCGGGCCCCTGAGTGACGTACAAGGTGTGGTGCGGGCCCCTGAGTGACCTACAAGGTGTAGTGCGGGCCCTGAGTGACGTACAAGGTGTGGTGCGGGCCCCTGAGTGACCTACAAGGTGTGGTGTGGACCCCTGAGTGACCTACAAGGTGTGGTGCGGGCCCCTGAGTGACCTACAAGGTGTGGTGCGGGCCCCTGAGTGACGTACGAGGTGTGGTGCGGGCCCCTGAGTGACCTACAAGGTGTGGTGCGGGCCCCTGAGTGACGTACAAGGTGTGGTTCGGGCCCCTGAGTGACGTACAAGGTGTGGTGCGGGCCCCTGAGTGACGTACAAGGTGTGGTGCGGGACCCTGAGTGACGTACGAGGTGTGGTGCGGGCCCCTGAGTGACGTACAAGGTGTGGTGCGGGCCCCTGAGTGACGTACGAGGTGTGGTGCGGGCCCCTGAGTGACGTTCAAGGTGTGGTGCGGGCCCCTGAGTGACGTACAAGGTGTGGTGCGGGCCCCTGAGTGATGTACGAGGTGTGGTGCGGGCCCCTGAGTGACGTACGAGGTGTGGTGCGGGCCCCTGAGTGACGTACGAGGTGTGGTGCGGGCCCCTGAGTGAGTACGAGGTGTGGTGCGGGCCCCTGAGTACAAGGTGTGGTGCGGGCCCCTGAGTGACCTACAAGGTGTGGTTCGGGCCCCTGAGTGACGTACAAGGTGTGGTGCGGGCCCCTGAGTGACCTACAAGGTGTGGTGCGGGCCCCTGAATGACGTACGAGGTGTGGTGCGGGCCCCTGAGTGACGTACGAGGTGTGGTGCGGGCCCCTGAGTGACGTACGAGATGTGGTGCGGGCCCCTGAGTGACGTACGAGATGTGTACGTCACTCAACAAGAACCAATTCAAAAACGTTCCCACACTGACCTACAATCCCATTCCCACTCAAACCCACCCACATCCCCATCCATATATTCCCTCATACACACACACACATCCCCATCCACATATTCCCTCGTACACACACATCCCCATCCACATATTCCCACATACACACACATCCCCTCCACATATTCCCACATACACACACATCCCCTCCACATATTCCCACATACACACACATCCCCATCCACATCCCTGCCCCCACTCAAAAGCTCTGCCAAATCTCCCTCCCTCCCACACCCCATTCCTACCCTTCTATCCCTATCCTCCTTCCGCCAAGTTGCCCCCTCCCCCTTTTTCCTTCCTGTCCTCCCTCCCCTTTCACCCCATACCCTCCCGCTCCCTTCCCTTTCACTTGAATCCCCGCTCCTCACCCCAGTATCCTCTGAGACCCTGTTATCCACCTCACAAATCCTCACACCCATGGAACAGCTTTCCCCACCAGCAGAACACTCACCAATTAGGCGATTTGAGAAGGGACAGAAGAAAGTGAGCCTCAAGGCAATGTACACTAACATAGATGGAATTACAAATAAAGCAAATGAGCTTGGAGAACGGGTACTAGAGGAAAACCCAGACATAATAGCACTCACAGAAACAAAGCTAACGGAAACCATAACAAATGCAGTGTTCCCACAGGAATATTATGTTATGAGAAAAGAGAGAGTTGGAAGAGGTGGTGGTGGTGTAGCTCTGCTGGTAAGAAAAGGCTGGGATTTTGAGGAGATGGTTATTCAGGGCTGTTAGGGTTTCAGTGAATACATAGCAGGTACAATAACAACTGGAAGACAAAAAAATTATAATCGTAGTCATATATAATCCACCACCAAATGACAGAAGACTCAGACAGGAATATGATAGAAACAACATGGCCACCATTAACATAACAGAGACAGCAGCTTCTGTTGCTAGCAGGAACGGATCTGGCCTACAAATCATGGGAGACTTCAACCAAAGGAAAATAGATTGGAAGAACAGAGATCCGCATGGAGAACCAGAAACATGGAGAGCTAAGCTGCTGGACGTGGCAACAAGACACTTTCTAAGCCAGCACATCAAGGAACCAACAAGAATGAGAGAAGATGAACCAGCCATGCTCGATCTGATATTTACCCTAAATGAGTGGGATATAAGGGAAGTTAAGATGCAAGCACCCTTATAAATGAATGACCACAGTGTATTAAACATTGAGTACCTGCTAGAGCTAGGAATTATCTTCCCTAAAAAAGAACTAGGAAACAAAAGGCTGGCATACCGAAAGGGAAACTATGAGGAGATGAGACGTTTCCTAATGGAAATACCTTGGGACACAAACCTCAGAGCTAAGTCTGTACAAGATATGATGGACTATGTCACCCAAAAGTGTCAGGAGGCCGTAAACAGTTTCATCCCGTCCCAAAGGGAAAAATCCGAGAAGCAACAGAAGAATCCATGGTATAATAGGGCATGTATGGACGCAAAGGGACTGAACAAAAGGGCATGGAGGAACTTCCGGAATAACAGAACACCAAAAAGCAGAGAGAGATACCAGAGAACTAGGAATGAGTATATTAGTGTGAGAAGAGAAGCTGAGAAAAATTATGAAAATGATATAGTAAACAAAGCCAAGACGGAACCAAAGCTACTCCATAGTCACATCAGGAGGAAAACAACAGTGAAAGAACATGTAATGAAACTTAGAACAGGCGACGACAGGTATACAGAGAATGACAAAGAGGTGTGTGAAGAACTCAACAAGAGATTCCAGGAGGTCTTCACAATAGAACAAGGTGAGGTCACTGTGCTAGGAGAAAGGGAAGTAAACCAGGCAGCCTTTTCCATCTGGTCACCACTTGGTCCGGGAGACATCTCCTGTCACGCAGGGTGCAGTCGCGTCTCCACAGATCTCCAGTATCAGCTCTTGATACTGGTAATGGCTCAAAAGGGCCACCACTTACGAGCTATTCATGCCCGTGCCACCTTTTGGGTGGCTTCATCTTCATCAATCAATTCAATCTGTTTAAAATCACGGAAGACATCTTCCGTCACGCAGGGTGCAGTCGCACCTCCAAAGATCTCCAGTATCATCTATTGATACTGGTGATGGCTCAAAAGGGCCACCACTTACGAGCTATTCATGCCAGTGCCACCTTTTGGGTGGCTTCATCTTCATAACACATTCACAAGGGAGACATCTCCCGCCATGCAGGGTGCATTCGCACCTCCACAGATCTCCAGTATCAGCTCTTGATACTGGTAATGGCTCAAAAGGGCCACCACTTACGGGCTATTCATGCCCGTGCCACCTTTTGGGTGGCTTAATCTTCATCAATCAATCATCAATCAATCAATCAGGCAGCCTTGGAAGGATTCGAAATTACAAGTGAGGAGGTCAAGAGACACTTGCTGGATCTGGATGTTAGAAGCGCTGTTGGTCCAGACGGGATCTCACCATGGGTACTACCAGACCACGCACTAGAAAGTGAAGGGACGACGACGTTTCTGTCCGTCCTGGACCATTCTCAAGTTGATTGTCTCCGACTTGAGAATGATTTGAGAATATCTAGAGATATTAGAAAGAACTTTTTTAGTGTCAGAGTGATTGACAAATGGAGTGCATTAGGAAGTGATGTGGTGGAGGCTGACTCCATACACAGTTTCAAGTGTAGATATGATAGAGCCCAGTAGGCTCAGGAACCTGTACACCTGTTGACTGACGGTTGAGAGGCGGGACCAAAGAGCCAGAACTCAGCCCCTGCAAGCACAATTAGGTGAGTACATTCCCTCATACATACACATCCCCATCCACATTCCCTCATACACACATCACCATCCACATATTCCCTCATTCACACACATCCCCATCCACATCCCCACATGTACACACATCACCATCCACTTTCCCACATACACACATCCCCCATACACATTCCCTCATACACAAATGAGCAGTAACAGCTCTGAATGAAAGCTGAAAGCATTAGCAGAAAGCAGCAAATGAAAGCACTAACCTCACAGGAGGAGCTAGATGCATGAGGCAGTTACTGGAAAGGAAAAGGGCTGTAGTAGTAATATGTGTTAAGGAACAAGAGGGTTCCACAAGGGAAGAATGGAGGTCCAAGGACAAAGCAGCAGTGGCAGGGATACTAAAGGAGATAGGTATGGAAGGGGCTGAAACAGATATAGAAAAGTTTCCCCCGGATTGGCCAGTACAACAAAGACAAAGACCGGTTGATCAAGGTAGTGCTCGAAAACGAGTGCATCAAAGAGGACATACTAGTAAAAAAGAGCAAACTGAATTATGTAACGAATTACAGACAGGTATTCCTTCAGAGGGACATGGCCAGGGAAGAGATAATACAGGTAGCAGATGCAAGGAAAAGGCGCAGGCTGAGGGAAGGGAGCCAGGGAACCTCAACCCCCAACCCAGCAATCCCAAGAGGGGTGTGTGGAACCCCAACCCAACTTGGGAACCCCAGAGGAAACTGCAACTGTAGGAACCGACCTGTGAGATTTATATTTATTTAATTTATATGAATTTATATAGATTTATATTTACGTTAATTTATATATTTTGATAGCAATTTGTATGATGATAAGTGGACTGTATTTCTGCAATAATCTCACAAATCGATCCACTACACATTAGGGGGGGTTTATATTGAATTTATATATATGCAGCCAATCAAACTACAGTATTAAACTACATATATTGTTAAACATTTAAGAGGTTCCTTATCTTATTTTACAGCAGGCCTTAGTCCACCAGGTATAACTAGGGTGTAGACACCAAATTTTCCTCATGT